CCGGTGCGCACCCGACCCCCCGGACAGCTGGCCTGAACCCGCTCCTCCGTGTTTCCGCAGAACGGCGACCTCAAGAAGCAGCTCCACGAGAGACAGCCGCGGATCGCCGCGCTCAGCGACAAACAAGTAAGCGAGCTGGAGCCTGCACCCACCCCCCACCGGAGTGGGGAGAGGGGTCGCCGGGCACTTTGGCAGCACCCTAAAAAGTGCCGGCCTCCACGCCGCGCGCTCAGACTCCTAGAAGAGTGCGTGTGCCATCCTAAAAGTTACCCGCCCCCCCCTTTTTTTTGGAAAGAAAGAGCTGGGTTCTCGGAGGCCGAGGGGGGAGAGCGCAGTGGCCGAAAGACTGAAGCTGCACTTAAAAGGCGGCGAGCAGCCCGGCGTCCATTTTGAGTTGGTGGACATGTTTTTGGAATGTGGGCATTTCTCCCGGCTCCGTGTCCCCACTTCTCGCCACGGTGGGGGGTCGAGGGGGCGGTAATTTAGGCCTGGATACCAAACTCCTTGGAAGCGATTTCTGGGTTCCACTGCAAATCTTATTGCAGAAGGGCTCCTCTGGGCTCCCCTCCGCTCACTTCTCCTGCATCACTTTTTATTCTTGGAACCTGACGCCAGCTCCCGGGGAACAAAAGAAAGGCGCCCCCGGGACGCCCCAGTTCTGCCCCAACTTTGGTCTGCGGGCGTCAGGTGTAGATTGGAACCCACGAGAAGCTCCTCGAGGTGGGGGCCACGGCCGCCGACCCCCCTCCCGGCCCCTCGAGGAGGAAAAGTTGTCCATTGTGAGACTTAGTTGCGCTGAGCTCAGCGCTCGGGGTTTCAGCACCACGAACAGATGCCGCCGCCGGAGCTCAGAAGAGCAGACTCTCTTCAGGCCTCGCACACAATCTGTTCCTGATGGCGATGCAGGAGAAGGACGTGAAAAATGTGTCCCATCCTTCTTTGGCTTTCTTCCCAAAAGATAATTTGAAGAGGCAGATACTAATTCACATTTAAAATTATGTCTAGAAGGCACTGTAAATTACAAAATTTAAATTTCCAGGAATATCAAAACTTCCATTTACTGAGCTTTCGCCCTGGACTTCTCTAAACAGGGCACCTTTTGAACTAGGATGGTTTTTCTAAACATAGCCGGCGTCCGTCGTCAGCACCAAACTTGGATAGCGCCCACCCCCGGCTCGGCTGCTGATCCGGTCCCCACTTCTTCCTCCCCCCCGACTCCCGGCCGCCCTGGCTGGGTCAGCTGCCCCCTTCCCGGAGGAATTTTCAGTGTCGGGGGAGACGTGGACGAGATTGGCGGGGGTGGCGGCCACCCTGGAGAGCGAGAACTCGGAGGCCGGGCGTTCATTTCGAGTGTTTAAAGTTGAAAAGTGGTGGGAGGGGGCGTGCGGAAGAGGAGGGGGCCGGGGGTTGCGGAAAGAAAGATGGCTGTTCCCGCGGGTCCGCGCCTGGTCGGGGGCGCCCGGCTGGACGGGAGGGTTGGGACGAATGCATTAACCCCTTTCTGCCGGTGCCGCGGCCCCCTACCCGGCGCGCGCGCCCGCCCGCCCGGCCCGCGCCCCCGTCCTGGAGTGGAAGCTTCCATTCCCGCCGGAGGGGGGCCCGGCGCGCGGCCCCGGCGAAGTCGGGGAGTTCGCGGGGGGAGGGGACCCAGGCCCGGCATTACCATTTTGATTGCTTTGATGCCATTTTTGGAGGGGGAGGGGTGGAAGACCCTTCTCAGCTGAGCACAAAGATGTTTAATCACTGTGTAGAATCAAATCACATACTTTCTTTAAAAAAAAGAAACCAGCACCAAATCTGGTCCAGTGTGATAACTGAGGCTTACTAAGCCCTTTTTTCACTGGGTAAAACGGCAAGTTGTTGACTCTTATGCTCCGAGTAGAAGATTTAAAAGAGAGAGAAAATCCAGTAATCCCGCGGCTTTCATTGCAACCTGCCTCTTTATGTGTGCGTCTCCGTGGCCGTAGTTCCACTATTCCGAATGGCTTTTTCAGAGCTTAGGTTTGATCATTCCTTCTGTATTGTAGCAACTCTTTCAAGGCTGCTTAAATTTTTATGATGATAGTAAATGAGCAGCTATTTATTATCTGTCATGCCGGAATTTAGATGAGGCTGAGAGAAACATTGGAAAATCCTGTTTGAGGGCTGCGGTGCAGCCTCGGGAAGGAGCTGTCCGACTTCGGGCTGCCTTTGCCTTTAAATTTGAATCCGGGAAGGATGCCTGCCAAGGGAATGTACCTCCATCTTTTTGTGTGTGTGAGTGTGTGTTTAAAAAGAAAGACAACAACGAAAACTTTTGTTTCCTGGCTTTTTAAAAATGCTTCTCTTTGAAATGACTAAAAATAACGTCTCGTAAGCAGCCAGGATTCAGCCTGGCCATCTGAACTTGGGTTTGTGACTATAAGTGTGTTGTTTTTCTTTTTCTCTTTGTGGCATTTTATATAACAAGGGCTCATAAAAGGGGGGGGGGCTAAGGCCGTGGTGCAGCATGCTAATAAAGCTGCCTTGTCTCTCCCAGCTTCGCGGTGAAATCTCTCAGAGGTCACCTATGAAATGAGTTGGGTAGACTTAACATTTACTGGTCTCTCTCTCTCCTTGGGAGAGTTTGGTGGTGATTGGCAGCTTGGCTGGGGAAGGGTTGATGAACTTAGCTAGCTCTCGGAGGTGATTCTGATCTGTACCCTGAGTCTTGAAGAGGAGCTGGTGGCGGGGGTGGGGGGGCTCTGCTTGGTCATCCCAGAACCTGCCCAGGTGCAACTGAAATGCGGGATCAGGGATAAAAAAAGCCAGTATTTCAGAGTTTGTTTTCAACTCAACATAAAATTAAAGGTAGCGTTCATATATAGATTTGCTTGGGGAGAAACTCATACTGTCTGCACCTACGGAGATATGTTTTTGTGCTGCTCCCGCTTGGAATATGGGCTATAAAGGTTAAATTTCAATTAAAAGTGCACACGTGGATGATGAACTAGATAGTTAAGTGAACGCATGACCCCATTATCCACATCTGTTAGAAATACAATAGCAGCTGAGCGATATCTTTCGATACGCAGCCATCGGTTTACCATTTGTGCCCTTGGCACTGGGAGTTTTTTCAGTTACTCTTAGAAGCATGGACGAGTGTCTAAGGGCATTTGCCGAGGACTCCTACAAGTAAATAGGTTGGCTGTTGGTCAGAAACAGAGAGATACGAATTCTTCACGACTCCCCAGCGTCTCTCCCGCCATCAGCGGACTAGGGGACAAACAGGAAACCAGCTTCCATGGGATGTTGCTATTTGGAAACATATTCCTTTAAAAAAGAAGGAGGTCGGGGAGTTGGTCAGAGCTGAATTGGGACCCAGCCAAAGCGGCTCAGCTGTGTCCCCAGGTGTGGCTGCGCCCCGCTGCGGGGCTGTGGCCCGGGGGGCGGGGGGGTGGCCGGGACCCCTCTCGTTTAATGAGATGCGATGTGTGAAGACCCCATTAGTTGCTCCAGTGGTTTTACGCCATGAATTTGCAGCACATGCAGAGAGGCAGTAACATTTTTATCTAAATTGTCAAGCAACAAGCACTTTTGCGTAAATAACAGACCCATCGTAAGTACGAGAGGGTCCCCCCCCCACCCCCCCCCCCCGCT